CAACTTAACGTCCGAACTTGCAAAACAGTGCAGACAGGCGATAAAAAAAGATCTTAAAGAGAGAAAAGCAGCAGTAATGGTCGAAACTGCAAAAGGTGGGAGAAGCATTAACAAAGCCCAACGAAGCTTCGTCAATTAAAAGGCCAAAATGATTGAACTCCGACACTCAGAAGGAACGGTTACAGCTTCCAGAAAGGCAGTGGAGAAAATCATTGAAAAATACCACTCAAATCTCTTCGGTAGCCACGTCGACTTTCGATCATATGAAATAAAGGAGGATGTCTATGATCGACTTTCTTTTAACCTCGGCATTGATTGATAATTCGATGTTTTTCGTCAATAAGCAGACATGGGATTGTTATTATAGGATTTTTTAGGATACAATAGCTGACGTTTTGGCGGTTTTATCTTCTTGGCTTCTTTGAAGGATGATGGTTACGTTGTACCACCGATTCTTCCTTCCGAAATCTGACAAGCCTTTTTGTCGGTGAAAAATCGAACAGTACCAGGTGCGGAAAGGATGAGATCAGAACACCTGAAGAACCCTTCGCCGGTCCTCATAAACACACTAGCTCTGCTTTTCACACGTTACCTGTCGGAATTCAAGCTCCCCACTCAATGCAATACCAGACAGAATATGCTGTTTTTCAAGAAAGGTGACCTCCGCGACATCAGCAACTTCCGCCGAATATGTTTACTGTGCGTCGTTTACAAACTTTTCTCTGGAGTCATCCTAAAAACGAATAACTCTGGATGCTCCATTTATATCTATCTGGGTCGAGAAATCAGTATGACGAACGACCTAGCTCCATAGCTGAGCAGAAAAAAACGAGCGGCTTGGGACTCCGTGCCCACCTTTTCGACTCAACGCGGTACTTTCTGCCCTAACGTATGCGTCAGAAACCTGGTCGCTGCATAAACAGGATGAAAAATCACCAAGTGCTACTGAACGCGCAGTCGAAAGAACGATGCTTAGGGTACCCCGTTTCACATAAGTAAGGAAAGGGATCCAAATCTCCAAGTTGCATCAACGTTGAAAAATCAAGAATGCCACTCTGCGTGCCAAGCGGTCAAATATGAGGTGGACTGGGCACGTAATGGGATGAAGAACAGTCGATGCTACAGATTCATTAGTGACTGGATTCCTCGGGATTGCAAAAACACTGCACAAAGCAACAGACGCGATGGTCGGAATTCTTCGCAAAGATCCTAAAAAAAAGATTTGACGCTTAACGAGTTCTTACAGCGAGCAGAACCCGCTGGGCTACTCTAGCGCGCGACGGATAAAAATGGAAGGTTCGACTTTGCCCCCTCTAGTCACTCTACGATCAACTGAACTACAGGTGATTGAATTCCTGTGATTTATCAAGGAGTAGCCGTCGGGTATCGGACCTTATTGTGAAGTTGGAGTCCGTGCTCAGCCGCACCAATAAATGTGAAGCTAAAAATTGGGGAAGAAAGGCAGTCACGCAACAGCTTGACGACGTTAGAGAGTTTATTACTTGACATCCGCTACGTTCTGATCTTGTANGGATAAAAATGGAAGGTTCGACTTTGCCCCCTCTAGTCACTCTACGATCAACTGAACTACAGGTGATTGAATTCCTGTGATTTATCAAGGAGTAGCCGTCGGGTATCGGACCTTATTGTGAAGTTGGAGTCCGTGCTCAGCCGCACCAATAAATGGACTGTGAAGCTAAAAATTGGGGAAGAAAGGCAGTCACGCAACAGCTTGACGACGTTAGAGAGTTTATTACTTGACATCCGCTACGTTCTGATCTTGTAACCCGTACGGCGTCTTGTAATGCGCGAAAAAATGAATATGTTGGCAAAATACACTTTAGAATGCACAACAGGGCACTTTATTTGCTACGCATGAACCACAAAGACGTAAGCGAGACTTTGAAATAAAGTGCCAACACCACATCGTGACAACGACCTGCTGTTCACCATGGGCTTTAATCATCGCTGCTCTGAAGAAACCGAAAGCGCCGAAGCACTAGTTGAATGAAGGTTTCTACACCCGGGCTATGTCTGCTAATTTATGTAGAGAACTAATCATTATATCAAAGCGAATTTGTTTCACTGGAAGGACAGATGATAGACGGTCGAATTGAAAAGACCTCTCATAATCTTAACCCTTTTTTTTACTGCCTTTTCCTTTTTTATGGCAGGGTATGTTGCGAAATATAACTCGTATATAATGCTGAGATATTTGCAAAACTCCGGACCGCAGGTGCATGCGGTGGGGAACGAACGAGCGCTATTGTCCTTTCCGGGGAGTAGCGTGCTTCACCACCACATCATCCGGGTCCTTCGTTTTGCCTGTCTCTCAGCTAGCTCTATTGATCTTTTGCCATCATCAATCACCCGTCAACGGGATTGATTTGGGGAGCCAATGTCGGCAAAAGATCAATAGAACTAGCTGAGAGACAGGCAAAACGAAGGGCCCCGATGGTGTGGCGGTGAAGTGCGCTACTCCCCGAAAAGGACAATAGCGCTCGTTCGTTCCCCACCGCATGCACCTGCGGTCCGGAGTTTTGCAAATATCTCAGCATTACACACGAGACCACTCGTACTCATAAGCGGTAGTTTTTAATCAGAATGAAATGATTTAAAGCTGATTAAGAGACTGGCTCTTTTTCCGCAATGACCGGAATGGACTCCATCTTTATCCTGTCGAGGTCACTGTGAAGGGGAACTCATTACCGACTAGGCTTAATAAAGTATAGCGTTTTCAACTTTTTTCCTCTGAGAACCACATTTATTATCAGCTAGCACTTTTCTCTCTAACCGCTTCGCTAAAAGTCTACGATTACAGTAGACCACAATGCATTCTCCACTCGTTTACCATAATTATTCAGTGAATTCTGCCTGCAAATGTGCTTGAACGGTACGAAATTTCGAGGTTTTGAGTATCTTATCGTAAGCTGAATCAATATTTAACCTTCGATATATGGCTTTCAGAAGAATTTTACTTCTTACTTTCGTCGGAGGACGAACTCCTAGAATTACTCTCTTAAACAGCCCAATGAACGTAACTGATCTCTGGTTGTATTTAAAGGCAAATTAGATGACGTGAGCGCGAAAATAAAGAATTTCTTTCATTTACCATAACGCTCTTGTTGGAAGTTTTCCAACCCACTTGCCATCTAAGGTGCATGGATAAGAATCTATCGCATAGTTCAATAAAGCGACCCTTTATATACTTTGGCGTTAGCAATTAGCCTGTGAAAATTTTCCAAAGTTCCCTTTTTGAGGCACGCGTTGTTGACTGGTAGCAGTTGCTGCTGTTTTTTCCGTGATTGGGCGCTTGGCGACTTGCTCAGAGTATCAAACCGCCTCAACTTAACGAGTGGAACCGTAAGGATTTTAGAACATCAGCAAAACTCGAAACGCTAGGTGGTCTTCGAGGCCGTGGTTACCATTTCCGAAGACCGAAGTGCAGTCCTCACCACAAGCCAGGCTTCTGTTTTCCCTGCCCTGAGAGGTAGTCAAGGTTTCAAAATGCACCTAAGGTTGCAAGTTTCGCTTATGTCTCAGCCTGCTCCCACTTGTATTAAGCACACCACTTTGCCACGAGAGAAGGTAGGCAGTAAATAAAAAGTTAGGGCAATACGGTCTCAACAAGTTTACTTCGCGAGATTTACACGAGATATTTTCGTTTTTATGCCCCCGTGTTCGAGTTTTCCCCGTAGGCTACGAAACTGAACAACTTTTTCTGGGTCTGGCTGTTTCCTGCTTTAACATAATAACAACTTAACAATAAATATGTTTGTGGCAAAACCATGATAACGTAGATGATAGTCATTGCCATCAACTAACCATTTCTCCACCACAGTTCCCTCGAGACCTTTACAGTTTCTGCAGGCTGCACCAATTTCCTTGTGCTTGCTCAATAAGAGACGAAAATCAAAAAGATGGCCATACGCCAATTAAATGACAGGAGTCTTGCCATTCATGAGGAAAATATCTCACATGTCAGAGACTTCGGCTCTGCCGTACACTCATCTATTTCCAATCTAGTCAGTTCATGCGAAATCCTATCGTTGCGCTTGGTTGTTCTTCATCTCCAACTTTCCCGTCAAGAATAAGTCGCCATCACCTGTCCTTGGTCGCCAAATTGTGCTGCCGATGAGGGAAAGGTGGATGCGCTGTACAGCCATTTACAAACAGTAATCCTCTACGAACGGTTTTGAGATAAATAGCAAAGATTAAATAGGAAGAAAAACAAGAATGATAAAAAATGAAAGTCCAAAGATGGATGAAAATGAAACGAACAGACGAGGTCTTTTCTCAAAGTTATCCAATCAGCTCTAAACCACCAAATGTGATCATTCCTTAAAGAGCGGCGAGTGCATTTCTGCTTGAATTTCTGTAGCATTTCCACAACGATGAAAAACAAGGCGTTCGTAGTTGAGCAATTTCTCTTTGCGCCATGCATTTGATTCTGTCAAACATCTCAGAAATTGCTTGTTGCATATTTGGCTCGCGCAGTGGAACTCGTATGGACACCAACAAATTAAATTAGATTTTCTGCTTCTGTGAAATTTGGTGCAAACTTGTCGGCCCGTGAGGGATGAGAGGGAGTAGGCAAGCGAGAGGAGGAATAACAAAGTAGCACTGTATCCACTCAGCGTTTCTCTTAATTTTTGTGCTACAACAGGTCTTTTTTTGAGATATCACAGTAAAACTATTTGTTTTAAATCTTTTAGTGTTTCTGCACGGTATTTCAATTTTGGCGACTTTTTTACCTGCCGCGAGCTGCGGGTGGAGCAGTTTTTAAATGTAGGAACTTGTAAATTTTCCCAGGCCACCTCATGCATGCAGAAGTTTTCACTCGGCTTACAAGGATAGCGTTAGTGATTTACCATGTTTTAAACTCAACTTTGCCTTTTTTTCATAAATCTAACCATCGAGCACATTATTCAACTTTATTACCATTGTGAAGTTAACGGCGGCATAGCTTACTCCGAACGCTTCACAGTTAAACTCCTGTTTCAGTCGACGGTTGCAAATGCCGAGGCGAAGTTCGTACGAAATGGACCCGATGCCAGCATTCGAACCGCTCTGTTCACCACACCTTGCCACATCTCTCTCGACCAATTCGCCATAATGACGTTCGTGGTCTACACATTTTTTTCTCCTTGAAACGATTTTGTGTTGAAAAGTAAGTAAAACAAACCGTGAGGCTTCCAGAAATTGACAAGTGCATGGCAGGAATATTTCCAATCATCATGGCGTTGTCTAGCCGACACATTCCATTATTCATTGCATTGCATAAAGCAGTTACCGTGTTCTCTATGATTATGCAGTGTGGCTTCATCATGTCATCAACTCCATTAACTGCAAGTAAGATCTGTACTCAAAAGTTTGCTTCAATTCAAAAGCTAACGAGCCCGGCATTTAGTTTTTATCGGCGAACTTACGCGTTCGTTCCACTTGTAAAAATTTCTTTTAAACAATGCGTAAATTGGCCAACTATTTCATCAGTGCCAAGGTTGATAGAAAGTCGGTCGTTGGAAATTTTATTATTTCGCTCCATATGAGCTGTCTTTTCTTCACGCCCACTCTGCTGATCCCAGCACTTCTCGTATTCGATTTTATTTTTCGCGTCCATTATCCACTTAGGTTTTCTAAATTTTGAGCATGACTTTGGGTGCTCCTTAAGGATTTTCGTTTCATCTCGAATGTCGTTGAGTGCTGGTCGAATCGACATTCCCTAGAGTCCCAAAATTGCCGGGCCGGAGCGCTCGCATTTAAATTGTAGAGAGTGGTTCTTATCTAGACGATCCCGGTACCAATTTGCCAACACGGCAGAGATTAGAGGCTTGCTGGACCTGGAGCGTTATCGAGCAAGCACCATGCTGGCGATGATAGACATCAATACCACTGTGCTATCCGCCTCCTCTTGCATGAAAATACTGTGTTAAATGTTAAAACCATTTCAATAACAGTGTCTTAAAGCAATTAGAACACCATCGCCGGGCAGGAATTTTTAAAAACTTTGTTTTTGCTCGGCCAAAGTTAAATGAAGACTTGGCTAGAACTCTCAGAAACACTTACTGAAAGTGGAAATAATTTATTTGCTAGAGTAGCCTAGACAAGCAGCAGCTAGTATACTCGAATTAAGTGGTGGTTCTTTCTCCTCACGCACGCCGTTTAGGCTGGAATCGATGTGGACCATCTCTATGGTGCACCACAATTGAATTTTGAACACGATGTGACATCACATACTGAGCGGGTTCTAGCGCTTCGAGCATTCCCTTCTTCTCTTCGCAGGCATCCGATTGATATGTTGCCTGGAGTGGTGCTTCAAGACTTTTTTTCCTCTTCCTTTCTTTCTGTATGCTGTTCCATATTGCCGGAGTACGTTCTTCCAGAAATCTTGGGAATGTCGTGATAGGGCATTTCTATAACATCAGGACAGGTAGTCGCCAACTTTTGTGGATTGCAGTGAGCAGGCACATAATTGACAATTCATGTGCAAATTACAAGAGCTCAAATAGAGGCGACCATGGTTGGACCGAGCCGGGTGGAACTGGATCCTGACGCGAATTGAGCGATGCACTAGCGCAGCGAATAGTGATGCTCAAAATAACTATTCGTATTAATTTCTAAAACACCAACAGCAGTAATAATTATCAAGATGTTCTAAGAGCTCACTACCCTTTGAAAGATTTGGAAAATGCGGTAAAGGTGAAGGATTTTGAACCGTCTCCCTCACAGCTAGTTCATCTCCACATTCAGTTCTAATTAGAGATGGCTTCTAAAACGAACGCAATGTAGCTCTTTTTAACACCCGTGTACGTTATCCGTGCATCCTCCCCGAAGTGTTTTTAAAAGTTGAAAACTTACTATCCATATTTGCTGGTTGATTAACAGCTACTGTCATGCATCGCAGTGGAGTATATCTGACTTGAACAGTGAGCTGACCCAAAATGATTGAGATTATTGCATCAGAGAGGCCAGCGCTGCGACCTTGCTCTTCGAGAACATCAATAACCTTAAGAACAAGCTTCTTCATTAGACAGTAAAGTTTATATAGAAGCGTTTTTAATCAAATTATTTCGAGCTATGTTGACAAAGTCTGCTGAAACTAAAACGCCAGCGGTTTCTAAAAATTTAAATTTGTGGTTTCCAGGATCGACTTTCTATTAACCTCGGCATTGGAATATAAATGCGTCGTTTTCTTGTTCAGCAATCGCGAGGATTTTAAACAGTCGTCACGACTAAGTCGTTAACCATATGCGACTATAATCCCTAGTGTTCTAAACTTTCTCGTTGGAAGTCACGTAAAAGCGGCTCTGAAGAAGGCGATACTGCCGAAACGTCAGCCAGTGTTCTATTGTATTGTGTTTTCCTATGGAAGTAAATGTATGCTGTTTAAAAACCTCGCGTTTGCTGAACAAGAAAACGACACATTTAAATTTGTTTTCTACACTCATCCAGAAACCGAGAAGGGGAAAGAGTTCAAATCGAAGAGTTGTGAACTCACTGCTTGTATTACGAGGCGTGATACAGATGCCTGAGCTCCCGCCTCGCTGTTTGCAATGCCAGGAACCTGTACAGGGACATTGGCTGCGGTGGAGTAGACCATGGCCACTGGCAAGGTAAAGCCGGTAATGCTGAAGGTCCTTGTTCTTGCTGCAAGACAATTTTGTACTTTTGTAACTAGTCGTTAAAAATTATCCCAACTTGAGCCAATTAAAAGTAAAAATCTTCTCGTCAAAAGGTTTGTGTTAACACAGGTGCTGGATACCAATGTAGTGTTCGATACGTTCACTCCGTTCGTGGTTAAGAAACTCGTATTTGAAATTACAAACGTATGCACTGCCATGACAATTTTCTATTTATTACCTTGACCTGGTGGCATCATCCCACACCCTAACACTGTCGAGGCGATCGCTAACAGCGGAATTAGAAGAGCCAGAAGGGTCGTCATGTTTCGAAGGCAAATCGTTTTTGGTCGCTAAAAAGTGTAACGAACACTGTAGAGTACAAGTAAGAGCAAATAATTTTCTTTTCCTTTGATGAGCAAGCACGAGGTTGTTTTTTGGAAAAGATTCTTTATTTGGAAACAAAATGACGTTTCTCTTTAAGCCGATGAAAAGAAATTTCCCTCTTTTTAAATCCGACCATTCACGAAGCAGTTGCCGATGTTGCATTCAGCACTTTTGCGTCAGTAAGGCAGAAGTTTTTGCACCACATTCACTTTTCTATGAGTATTAGAAGCTCCCAGCTCATTGAATTCAAAGCGTATCCCTCAGAACCACTTTCGTGATGGAGTCTGCCATCGCGAGGCCCATAGAAACTGGCTGGTGATACTAACAGTGTGTAAAATATTGAACAAAGACGGCGTAAGTAAAAGCGATCAGTTAACGAAAATTTCAAACAATGGGCAAATTCCTGAGGTGCTGCGGCTTTAACTAGGTCTCCGCCTTCTCGCTTTGTGTTGCTGCGTCATAAAGTCCTAGTTTTCCCACAAATATCGAAATTTACAATAGTCTTCGGAAGTCTAGTTTTGAAAAAAAACCCATGGAGAGGGTTATCGATTTACCGGAACGAAGGGAAGGTTCCAATGTGGAACATTCCTGGCAGCAATTTTCTAAGCAGCAAATATTTCTTTTGTTGAGCCGTGGTCTTCCACTTAACCTCTCCCAGTTTTCAAAGTAGTTCTACGAAATCTCCTTTTTTGATGGAGAAGCCGACTGATGGCCAAAACAAAGCTCATTTCATAATTTTACTGAAGAATTCAGAAACTGATGTGGAATAAGGCGGCGCCAACAATGCACAAATATGAGGAAGAAAATAGAAAAGCAATTCAGAATTGACCATAGAGAAAATAGCACGTTAAGGCATTAGGTTTTGTACCGAAGAAGAAGAATCCTACGTTTAGCTGGAATTGCCAGTGCATATAGAAAAGAAAAAAATTGGGCGTTTCTGAAGGCAGAGGTAGCACTGAGCTGAGACGTCCTTTGGCGGCCTTTTTAAACGTTCCAAGTTCCTAAGAAATCAGATTGTCTATGAAGCGCCGCCAATTTTTCGCAGTTTCTCCGTGATGTACAGACAAAACAAAGTTTGGTATTGTGCTTTTCGCATGCTGATGTCTCATCACATTCGTGTAACGTTTACAAACACTTCACTGATTTCACTCATTTCTGCAGTTGTTTGGGAAAGGATCACCAGGAAAAGTCGACATGTTGCCTTCTTACAGTAAGTGGCCAATTCGATCTTTTCAATTCTTTACATAAAGCGGCGCTGCGAAGCAATAATTGTTTGGTCTTTTTAGAAAAAGAACTGGCCACAGTTGCGATGAATGCAGTTACAGCATTTTCGCTGAATGATGACAGTAGATCTCGTTCTTCAGCTGGCAAAATTGCTGAGTAGCATAATGTGCTTTGATGCGTCGGATTTTGAAAAACTGTTTACTAAAGGCTTCGTCTCATGCGAATTGAAAATTGTTCTGGAAAACACTTGTTTCGCTGTCCAGTACAGCCAACTAGTACAGGACATCAAAACGCGACTACTACGTGCCTCTCTTCGGTACAAGCAGAACACCATGTACGCGCAATTGAAGAAATTCAAGTCGAAGGAATCTTATTGTGTTCAGTATTTGGAGGAATCCCTTTGGAAGAGAATAGTGGGTGAGTCAATTTTGATTTGTGATTCTATTAGGTCGAATGCTAAAGTAACCTTAAGCAGAAATTTTTAAAATTTACTAGATCATTCGCAAAAGACAACTTGTTTCGCTGACTGAATCGCACGCGGTAGTGATCGCAAAGGTGACGTTAATGAGAATGTCTCGATTCAAAATGTTACGACAAAGACAAGACAATGACAAATGAAGCAACACTACCTAAGCTTTCTACTGCGGACACAATAACCAGTAAGCTTCACTGAAAATTGCTACACATAAGATGCTAAAAATCCACATCTGCTCCCAGTAGACATTTTTAGGTGAGCCTAAAATCATTATGGTTTGAAGGGGAACCACAGCGCTCACCAAGACTTCGGACATAACAGGAGCTGATATGACCACCTTGCAATGCCCTCGATTCTAAAACGCGTTTCCTCTCTTTCTGCAACAAATTTTTCCCATATGTATTTCATAGTGCCTCGTTGCAGCGCATCAGTTTCAGTTTTGGTTACCAACAGCAAAAGGGTATCTCAGAGTAAAGAAAAGTAGCAGACTTTCCAGCACTGCAAAAACTGTTCCGCAGATCGGACGGTTGATTGCTGTGGCAAAGATCGATAGAAATAGCTGAGAGACAGGCGAAACGAAGGACCCGCATGGTGTGGTTGTGAACGGGTTACTCCCCGGAAAGGACAATAGCGCGTTCGTTCCCCACCATACACACCAGCGGTCCAGAGTTTTGCAAATATCTCAGCATTACACACGAGACCACTCATACTCATAAGCGGTAGACTTCACCGCTTCAGACTTCAGACATAACAGGACCTGATATGAGCACTTTCCAGTACTCTTGAATCTGAAACGCGTTTCCTGTTTTTCTGCAACAATTTTTCACATATGCATTTCACAGTGCCTTATTGCAATGCTTCAGCGTCAGTTTTGGTGATCAACTGCAAAAAGGTATCTCAGCAGATGGAAAAATAGCAGAATTTCCAGCACTGCTTAAAACTGTTTCGCCGAAGATCATTGAGTGGGAATTGTTCATAGCATTACTTTGTGTAGACTACTGCACAGAATCGCCA